CCCTTAAACCGCCCTTTCGGTACCAATTAATTTATCGGTTATCTTTATAGCGAAAATTAGAAAATTTAAATTTAAATTACCCGATTCGAATTACTTACCTTTGATCAGTTGAAATTCTTCTAAAAGAAAAATCGAAAATGTTAGAAAAAAAATAAACACATATTAAATGAATCGAGAAAAAATAATAATAATAATAATAATAACAAGTCAAAAGAAAGAAAGAAAATTAATAAGTGAAAAAGAAATAAATAAACAGAAATAAGTCAAAGAGGAAAGAAAAATAGGATAGATAAGAATAAAATTAAAAAAGGAAAAAAAATAAAAAGGGTAAAGTTTAAAAGTAGTAAAAACGATATGAAGGGAAAAAAATAGTAATAATAGCGATAAAATACAGTAAGATGTAGGGGACCAAATTTTAAAAAAACGGGATTAACGGGCTAAATTGGCATTAAAATAGACTGCAAAAAAGAGGAGTAAAAAGTTAGGAGCCAATTCACAAAGAAAAAAAATTAAAACCGGGACCAAATTAATTGAATTGCAAATTTAGGGTCAAAATTACAAATGGTGACTAAAATGAAAACCGATTCAAAATACCAGGGACTGCGGAGAGGATTTAAGAATTCACTATTTGCAAACTGGTCCTTGGTATATAAATACCCAAAATCACCTAGTCTTCTTCATTTCTCACCATTTCTCAGCTATTCACCTCTCTCAAATGAGAGATAACTCTCTCAAACAGCCCTCTCGACCGAGCCTCTGCCACCGAACGCTGCCGCTTCCGGCCACCGACGGTGGTTGCCGGAAGATCTAACCTACCCTCAAAATGCTCCTCTAGCCACCCTAAACATGAATCTGAAGCCCAAAACCCCAAAAACCTTGCCAATCGGTGTAGATCTAAAACGAAAGTCTCGGCCTTTATCTCTTCCGGCGAGACCTTTCACTTCCCCGGCGCTCTTGCTTCTCGCTTTGCTCGGTTCTTTGTTGTTTTTGTATTTTTGTGTGTTTTTATGAGTTTTGTTTTGGCTTTTGGTTGCTGTGGTGGGTTTTGGTTTTTGGTACTTTATGTTTGTGGTTGTTGTGGTGTTGTCTCGGTTGAGGTTTCTGTGTTGATGGATCTCCTGTGTACCCTCTGTTGATGGTTTCTCGTGATGGTGCTACCGTTGATGATGGTTTTTTTCTGTTGGTATCTTGGCTTGATGATGTTTTGTTCCAGAAAACGGTTCTTGGTTTCGTTGTTCTTGCGTTTGTGGTTCTCTCTCGTGTTTGATGTGTTGGTACTGTGGGTTTGTGGCCCCCCCTGTTCCTGACCGTAGGGGTATTTATACCTCTACTGGTGCCGGTCAGTTCCGATGGTCGTGGTAACAAACCCGTCGTGGGCCGAGGATTTCGGGATGGGTCAGTCCCGATTTCCTCGGCCGGAGATCTCGCGCCGTTGTGACTGTTGGCGCTCATGCTTCCTTGACTTGCGGCGCTGACTGTGGCTGTGTGACTAGGGTTTCTAAACCCTAACCCATATTGGACTAGATCAGGCCCAAACATGTTGGACTCGTTAGACCTATTAGACCCTGCAACAAAATAAAAATAAAAATAAAATAAGTAAAATAAATAATAAATACATAACAAAAGGTAAATAAATAAACTAAAAAACATTTTCCAAAAATCTATATAATATATATTTTTAAAAATATTTTAAAATTATATATTATATGTTTTTTTTAAAACGTTTTCAAAATTATATAGTTTTTAAAAATGTTTTTTAAAATTATATATTATAAGTTTTTGAAATGATTTAAAAACTATATAATATATATATGTTCTTCAAAATATTTTTTTAAAAACTATATATATTTTCAAAATGTTTAAAAACTATATAATATATATTTTAAAAAAATGTTTTAAAAATTATATAGTATATTTATTTTCAAAATACTTTAAAAACTATATAATACATATATTTTCAAAAATATGTAAAAACTATATATTATATTTATTTTCAAAATATTTTAAAAACTATATAATATATAAATATTTTCAAACATGTTTTCAAAACTATATATTATATATAGGTTTTAAAAATATTTTTAAACTATAATATATATATATATATATCTATATATATAAATGAGACGAAAATGAATGTCTACAATACAAACTTCCCACCAAACGGTTCTAAGGTTGGGTTCGTTTACATAACTAAAGGCCAAGTCACCAATCCCTTTGGCTATATTCTCGTATTTTGACTTTGTTTATTATTAAAAAATTAAAATTATGGTTAATTGAATTTTAATTGGGTTGTTTTTTTAAATGATGTTAAATGTATTTAAATACAATTATTCTTATGTTTTGATTAATTCAAATATTATGTAAAAAAAATTAAAATCATGAATAAAAATGTTAACAATTACGTTTAAAATTTTAATATAATGAAGGGTAAGTATACAAATGATCCTGATTATATAGTTATGTTTTATCAAGTCATTTGACTATTAAAAATTACAAAATAGTCATATGACTATAATGTGTTGTTTTATTGAGTCTTTAAACTACTAAAAATTACAAAATAGTTACCCGACTATTCATTATATTCTAAATTCATCTTTTTTTCGTTAACAAATCGATTGTCATATGAGCTGGACGTTAACATAATGACTAGTATATGAGAGTCTTTTGAAATTTTAGGATCAGATTTTATCATATCACAGTCAACAAGTTAACGTTCAGCTCCGACTTTCGTCAATTTTGTAACAGAAAATGATGAGGTTGGAACATAATGAATAGTTGAGTGACCATTTTGTAAATTTTAACAGCCAAAGGACTCAACAAAGCAACACTCTATAGTCATTGGACTATTTTGTAACTTTTAATAGCCAGGAGACTCAACAAAGCATTACTCTATAGTTGGGGATCATTTGTATACTTTACCCTATAATAAATAGTAAATTGATTATATAACAAATCTTTACTTTTTCTATATTCAATGTCATTATGAAAACCTTTTTTTTGAACAATTTCAATGATAATATATGTAGACCTGGTGGAGGAAATTAAAATTTTAAAATTATTTATAAAGTAATTAAACACATGTGAATAGAAGAAATTGAATTATAAAAATTAATTTTATAAAACTTAACTTAAATAAATTAAGTAGTAGTGATTAAAAAATATCAATAAATTTTTTAATATATTATTTGTTTGACCCGTGCATATAGGCAGTAGTAAATTACCCATTACGATTTCCATTGATTTATTCTTGGGACAATGTTCCTTGAGATACAGTATAATTAACCTAATGATCTTTTTGTCCTCAAACTTTAAAAAAAATCATTTTAGCCTCTAAATCTTTAATATTTTTTACTTAAATTTTTTACTTTTATTTAGTTAAACTTATTGATGGAAAATATTAGATATTTAATAGTTTATATACATCAGTTTTTATAAATTTTACAGCTTTGGAGAAATTTAAATATATTATTATATTTTTAAAAATTGAAAAAAATAGTATAGTCTCAACCATCAATCACTCGTTGGCCATCTCTTTCAAAAGAGATTAGGTTTAATATTTTATTTTGGTTAATTGTACACGCCTTCCTTGCAGAAGCCGATATCTTAGCACGCGGCGTAATGTGGGGATATGTTTGTTTTTTTCTATTGGTTGTCAAATTAATTAATGGAAATATATAATAAGAAATAAATTGTACGTAATGCATTTTCCCCTAAGAATTATAATATTTAATAAATAAAATTTTGAAAATGCTATTTTGAATTATTTTTAAGAAGATGTTTACGAATATAATCATAATTATAGGTACAATGTCAAAATTAGCTATTAATATTTATTAAAATAGATTAACTTAGTAAAGTTTGGTTAACAATCGAATCAAATAGATTATAATTTTTAACGAATCAAATCGAATTACTTGATATATTCAATTCGAAAATCTCACGAACTACTCGAAAATATAATATATTAAAATTTGAGTCAAACGTGGTTACAGGTATTTTAGATGTGTGTGAGCCACCGACGTCCAAAAATCAAGTTTAAAATTGATTATAAAAAATAAACTATTATAAAAAAATATTATTTAAAAAAATAATCTTATCGAATTGTTCTCGGCTTTTGGGATGATGATCATCGGTGAAGACAAAAGAATGATTGAAGCATGGAGTAATTATTTACTTTATTTTTAGGAGAAAAACAAAAGACCATGTAAAGTGTGTAAAGGGAATATAGCCGTTGCGGAAAGCAAATGCCAACGTACCATCAAGTGGGCTCCAAGAGACTCAAATAAGTCGGACGATGTTTAGACTTAACTAGTTTATAGTAAATTCAAATTAATAATAACATAATTTAAAAAAAATAACATATCATTATCTAATTAAATAATTAAATTTATTAAATTAAAATCAAAATAATAAAATATATCAATGATAAAAATTAAATATATAATTATATTAATCTTATTAACTGCCACACCATATGGGTATCCATAATCCTTCAAGCACTTTGAGTAACTCAACATCCCTCCCCATAGTCCACGAAACCAAGAAAATCAACCAATTTTCCAAGATCAACAACCCAATCTAGCTACTTTAATGCCATTTCACACGGCAACAGCCCGTCACAGAAGCAACCGGGGGATCAGATAATGCCCCAAATCTAGAATACTTGGTAAGAAAAAACACTCGGATATTTTCAGATTCACCTACAATGCTTTTCGATGTTCAAAAGTTTACTGACAAACAAGTTAGTGGGGGGGGGGTTAATAGGATAAAATGGATTGTAGCAGTCATAAAACGATTTTTTTTTCTGTTTAGATGAAGAGTTATAACCAATGATAGATTGATTATGTGATTGTTGTTAAGTATTCTGTTTTTATTATGAAGTAGAACATAAGAGAATAAGGGTGAAATGGTTTTATTCAAGTTAGATCCCACCTCTCAATTATGTTTAAAAGGTTTTATAATGACCCTTAATACACCTGTAGCCATATGGTTTTATAATGCAAAAGGATAGGGATGTGGTGGTCCTAGCATGGAGGTTCTATGCCGAGTTCTACCAAGCCAACATTGGTAGCATTGTTCCTTACTTCCAATTGAGAACGAACCACCTCATCAAATGGACTAGACCACTAACAAACGTGATCAAGATTAATGTGGATGGAGTCTTTAGCGCTCACAATGCTTCTGTAGCTTTTGGTGTAGTGGCGTGCGATAGTAATGGTATGGTGGTGGGCGGTCTAGCTAGAATGATTGATCCCCCTCGTACTGCTGAATCTACTGAAGCAATGGCCTTTATTCACGGACTTGGATTCACAGTGGGCAACGAGTGGCGTAAAGCAATAATAGAAAGGGATGCTATTTCTATCGTGAATATGCTGGCAAACTGGAAGGAAGATATTTCCACCATCGGATTGTTACTCAACGAATCTCAAAAGATCATCAAGAGCAATTGTAACCTTAAGGTATTTTATGTCAATAGGGTTGCTCACAGAGTTGCATATTCCAATGGGCTTTGTTGAGACCCAATCTAGTCTGATTTTGGTACGATGAATCTAAATGTATTAAATCTGATGTACTCTAGATGCTATTGGAATATAATCTAATTTGGTTTTATTACGATGAACTTAAATTTTGTATATATCCCTATTTGCAGTTAAGTTCTCCAAATTGAGATAAGCTTGCATTGAACATTCATGTGACATGTGACATTCAAACCATTATCTTTATCCAAATGAAACATTCATAAAATCTCAAAATTTCAATTCATTTCCAAAATCTTTTTTTCTAAAACAAAGACTGTAACAAACGACTTAAATCCTTACTGCGCTAATTTCGATACAAAAAGTTTTAGATCAAAATATCATAGTTTTGGAGCTCTTATCCTTGCATCGGATAGCCATAGTCTCCTACTAGATGGCTTGAAGGAGGCGGTTGTTGAACAGTACTAACCGGAAGTCATGTTCCGTTCGACAAGTGCTTTCATCACATCGTAATCGATTATCGTAACGTCGTGGATGCTCGATCTTTTTCTCGCCTTTTTCCCCGAATGCAACCGGAGATAAAACTTTTGGGCGTGGCTAGCGACCTGAGACGACGACCGAGTATTCACCACATTTCTTGATATACTTCGCCAATCACCCTTGCCATATTTTCTCAGACCATATAAAAATAACCTACCATACATTAAAATGTATCATACGATAATCATTGAGTTCAACATGTAATTTAATACGTAACTTATAATAATAAAGTCAGTTATCAATGTATAACAGTGTACATATATTAAACATTATAATATTTAACTAATTTGAACTCGAGTACAAATAATCGAATTCACAAGTAATGTATACATATACATATATATATATTGGAAAATGAAAAAAAAAAGTGAAAATGCACATACTTATGTTCCTGTAATGTCCAAGGAGTTCCCTTCTTTCGTTCAACGTTGCCCTGCCGTTTCGATTTTGATTCGCAATCGATTTGATGATTCGAATCGGACTCCGAATCGAAAATAAACCAATTATCACTATAATTCGGAACCGGAACTCGACCGGCATCGATCTCATAAACATCACGAACAAGAATCTCAAAATGTTGCTTTATTTCTTCAGGTGACCTCCCCGGAATCTTGGCGGCAATTAGCTGCCATCGATCGGGAGTTCCCTCCGGAAACTCCACCAAACACAGCTCAAAAGACTTCTCCTCGAAAAACGTCCACTCCCTCCTCGCCGGCGTCGACGAATCGAAAAACAACAGATTACTGTAGTCGTGGCGATCTTGGTACATGTCGAATCTTTTTGCTATAAATAAACCTTTTTCGTTTTAGAGTTGAAGTAGGTGAAGATTGGATAAACATAAAAAAGATAACTTTGTTTGTTCTTTTGTGAATCTATGGGGTTTAAAGTCAGGGTTTTGGATTAAATTCCGCTTCTTTTTGTTAGTATTTGAATTAGCTTAGACTTCTATTTCAACAGGTTTCTAAATTATTGGAAATTGTTTTATTTTTATAAATGTAATTTATCTTGTATATAAATTTGGTTAGATTCACTTCTGTGTAAAATTTTTAATTTTATATTTTTTTAAAAAAAGTCGTTAAATAAACTAAAATAGGTGGTTAAGATTTTATTTTTTTATTAAATATTTTTTTATTTTTTATTTTTTTATTAATCTTAATATTCTATTTTTACTCGTTCAATAATATAAAAAATATTAAAACTAAAAACTTTATCTTATATATAAGTAAATTTTATCTCATATAAATATGATTTTTAAAAGTCATAAACATTCAAAATACTTTTATATTAGTTTAATGTTATTCGTTCAACAGATAAATAATATTATAATTATTTATATATAATAAAAAGTGAAAATATATACCCATATTTTCAGGAAAATTCTAGAATGCATACCATTCATCGCAATTCACAGCTAATTTTACAGGGTAAAATTTACAAATGGTCATTAAATCATATCAAAATTATCCTTTTGAACATTTATTTTTTAAAAGTTACATAATGAATATTAAATCTTAATTTTGTTAGAAAATGGGCACAAAACCATTAAGAAATGTCTCATTTGACCCTTCAATTATAACTAAAATTTTAATTTTACTCTTAATTTTAATTGAAATAATTCTTTTTAGGTTCATTAAATTGAAAATAAAATAGGTAAAGATAAAATAAATATCATCTTTTAATTTTATAATATAAATATTAAATGTGTACCATATAAATTAAAAATTATATGATATGATATTATAAAATTATGGATGTATGATTTTTAAATTACATTTAAATTTGTTAAATAAAAGTTAAATGCTTAAATCACATCAGTAATAAAAAAAACATTTGTATTATTTGATAATATAAATTTTCGGCGTTGAAAATTATAAATTTCTTATTTTAAAAATAAAAAAACAATTAAATAAGTAATTAGTTATAAAATAATTTTTATTAATAAAAAATTAATTCATTGCTTGATAACTGAAATTTTTGAAATATTTTTTTTAAAATTTTAAAAATAATTTATTTTCATATATTTTTAAAAAAAATCTAATTTTTTAGAATTACTATTTAAAAATGTTGAAAAATATTAAAGTGAAATTTTAGTTATAATTGAGGGGTTAAATAAGATGTTTTTCATTAATTTAGTATGTTATTCGCCCCTTAATAGCATTTAACTATTGTTATTTTTTAACAAAGTTCAAAGTTTAATGTTTATTTTATAACTATTAAAAATTTAATGATAAATAAAATCAATTTAAAAATTGTTGTGACTATTTACAAATTTTACCCTATTTTATATTAGTGATATGTTTCAATGTATGTCATTAGTGGTGCATTTAAAAGAATGTCACTCATTGTAGACTCATCCATATTTTCATATCTTTTTTACAAATAATATTTTAAAATGAAAAATTCTAGAATGCAGAACATTCATTGCAATTTACCACTAATTTTATAGGGTAAAATTTACAAATGGTCATTATAACAATCAAGAATACTGGAAATGAATAATGCTTTCTTGTTAACAAAGAAGGCTTACAAGGCTAGTTTATATACAGCTATAAGGTTAACTGATTAACCGAATTACAACATCTAACTAATCAGCTAAATAATGAACTAACTAAACTAACAACTAACTAATTACAAACAACAATGCAAACTGATATATCCTAATACCCCCCTCAAGTTGGATGTGCATATATGTTAAGGAGACCCAGCTTGTTAATGAAAGCACGATGTATGGGAGGTCAAAGAGTTTTTGTGAAAATATCAACCAACTGGTCTGAGGAACGAACATGGAACAGCTTCAAGAACCCATCTTTCACATTGTCTCGTACAAAATGACAATAAACCTCTATATGTTTTGTCCTCTCATGAAACACTTGATTAGTTGCAAGGTTAATTGCAACATGATTATCGCAATATAATCTTGAATAATCAACATCCTCATGAAATGAAGATAGCAAATAAACAAGCTAAACTAATTCACATGTAGCCATGGCCATAGCTCGATATTCAGCCTTGTAGGAAGATTGTCTAACAACAGCCTGTTTCTTCGATTTCCAGGACATCAAGCTATTACCAAAGAAAGCACAAAAACCTCTCGTGGAGAGTCTTGTATCAAGATAAGAACTGTAGTATGAATCAATAAATAGGCTTAGGTGATTGATGGACCAAACTTGAAATAATAAGCCAAGACCAGGAGAGCTTTTAATGTATGTCAGAAGGTGTTTTAAGGCAGTCATATGAGGCAGTCGAGGTGAGGAAACAAATTGGCTCAATAAATGTACATTAATAATGTCTGGCCTTGTATTAGTCAAGTACAACAAACGGCCTATCAACCGTCGATACTCCTGAGAATCAAAAAGTAACGTTCCTTCATTTGCACTTAACTTCAAGGGAAAAGGCATGGGTGATTTGACTGGTTTGGCACCCAGACAACTTGTATCTTCTAACAACTGCAACGCATATTTTCTCTGGGATAAAATAATTCCAGAGCTATTCCTAGCAATTTCAAAGCCTAGAAAATAATGCAGGGGTCCCAACTCCTTTAGTTTGAAGTGTTTTTATAAAAGGCTTTGTATTTTATGAAGAACTTGTAGGTATTCCTTAGCCAAAACAATATCATCTACATATATGAGAAGAGCAATGAATTCATTTCCACATCCCCTTGTGAACAAAGAATGTTCAAATAGAGTCTGCTGAAAGCCAAGTTGAATTACAACATTAGAAAATGCAGTAAACCACTGTCTGGATGCTTGCTTCAGACCATAAATGGATTTGTGAAGCCTACAAACCATTTTAGATTCTTTAAGCTCAAATTTGTATCAAAGAGGTAATTTTATGTAAACTTCCTCATCTAATACACCGTTGAGAAAGGCATTGTTTACATCTAACTGCAACAAGTGCCAATTACGTGTTGCTGCAAGAGAAAGCAGGACTCGAAAGGAAGTCATCTTCGCAACAGGTGAGAATGTGTCCATGTAGTCAATTCCCTCAACTTGTGTGAACCCCTTAGCAACCAACCTAGCTTTACAACGGTTAACCGAGCCATCAACATTGCACTTCACCCGATAGACCCATTTACAGTCAACAACACTCTTTCCATCAGGTAATGGAACAATGGTCCATGTTTCAAGGTCATCCATAGCTCGAAGTTTATCACTCATAGAATTCCTCCATGTTGGAGATTTGACAGCTTGATGATAATAGGATGGCTCAGCAACAGACAAGATATTTGCAACAAAAGCTCCATACTCAGTTGAGAGTTTTGAAAAAGAAAGAAAACTTTCAATAGGATATAAGCATTTGGAGGAAGCATTATTACAGTAATATTGCTAAAGGTATGATGGTTTTTAAATAGTACGAGAAGAACGTCGAACTGGTATTGAAACAGCATCAGTCGAGACAATATTATTATTCGAGTCAGTAGGTTCTAAGGGAACATTATCATGTGAATCAGCACATTCAGAAGAAACATCATTATTCAAATCAGTATGATCAAGGAAAGCACCACCAGTCGAGTCAGTAGAACCAAGGGAGGCACCGTTAGTCGAGTCATTAGAGCCAAGAGAAGCACCACCATTTGATTCAGTAGGTTCAAGAACCTGTTCAGTCCCATGTACATGTGAAGCACCAACCATGTCATGTACAACTTTTGGTAAGCAAAAATCCTGAAACAAGTCAACATAATGGTTAGACAACTTTGTATTTCGAAAGAAAACATCCCTTCATGAAATACCACATTTCGAGAAGTAACAATCTTCTGGCTTTGCAGCACATAAACACGATATCCCATTACACCTGGAGGATATCCAAGGAACACAGCAGGTAAAGCTCGAGCTGAGAACTTATCCTATTGAGACTTCAATGTAGAAACAAAACAAAGACAGCCAAAGGCTCGTAGCCCACTATAATCTATTAAATGACCATATAAGACTTCATAAGGGGATTTATTGTTCAGTACAGGTGATGGAAGTCTATTAATTAAGTATGTTGCAGTGAGTAAACAGTCACCCCAATACTTGATTGTTTGGAAATACAAAGCACAAGCAACAACCAACAAATGTTGATGTTTCCTTTCAACTACATAATTTTTTTGGGGTGTTTCCACACATGAGAACTGATGAGCTATACCCAAGCTAGTGAACAATTCAGTAAATTTTAATTCAGGAGCATTGTCAGACCTGAAGGACTTTATATCAAGTTCAAATTGTTTCGTGATCATTGATATAAAGCGGGTATAATTGTGTTGACATAAAACTTATGCTGCAACAAATAGACCCAGATAGATCTTGAGAAATCATCGACCAAGGTTAGAAATGAAGCCTGACCAGAATATGTTTTGTGCTTGTAAGGTCCCCATATGTCACAATGGATTAATTCAAATAACCGTCTAGTATGAGTTGAAGAAACGGAAAATGGCAATCTTTGTTGCTTGGCCAATGGGCAAACTTGAAAAGAATCTTTCATTTTTACATTCTTTAAAAACAAAGCATTCTTGAGAAGATGCATAACATGAAGACTAGGATGACCCAACCTATTGTGCCAGTCATTAGACAAAATGTTAGAAACGTTATTACATGAAATATTGGTTTTGAATGAGGACATTTGCAGCAAATAGAGTCCTTGAACCAGCTCACCCTTCCCAATCACTATATGAAGGTCCAGAATTAAGCAGTCTGTTTTGCAAAACAACACACTAAGATCAGATAATTTCAACAATGCACTGACTGAAAGTAAGTTTAATCGAAAACCTGGAACAAATATCACATCATATAA